CGAGTTTCTAGGAACATCAACAACAAAAATCACCAACAAGATTGAAATAAAAATCAAATCAAACCCAAAACCTTAAAAATCAAAATAAAAACCAAACCCAAATCTCAAAATCAAACCCAAACATAATCCTAATAATCAAGACTCAAATTCAAAAACATAATCCTAATCACCAAAACTCAAACTCAAAAACCCAAATCGCAGTATCACTTCTTTTTGGCTTTTACCTATGCATTTCGCCATGATACCCATCTTCCCTAATCCAACAAACATCATCCAATCAAGTCTCTTTAAGGTGTGTCTGATCAACTGTCAGGAAGCCCCACTCATCGGACACACTACTCATTTGGGGTTCCTTATATGGTCAAAAACGCCAAATTGATTCCCTCTTCCAGAATTGTTCCTTCTACATCGTCTTAGATCTGTAACCTATTTTCCCGGTGCTTGGTTCTCATCAGGTCCCTGTATAGGGTGGTCGGTGTGAGGAATCAGAGGAAAAATGGGGGTAAAATAGAGAGAATGAAATAGAGAGAGAGAGAATGAGAAGGGAGGTGTGGCTTTGGTGCTTGGATCGTCAAAGAAGAAAGGAGTTGATTGCAGATGGGGGCTTTGTTGCTGGAAAAGGATTGTCTCTAAGAGCATCTCCAACGGCTTCTATACAATAGAGAAAATCAACCTTTTATTCTCTGTAACATGGAGAACACTTTAAATATAGAAAATTTCTCTAAAAATCCAAAGAGAAGAGAGCAAAATGAGGTTTTTATTCATCTCGCCAATGAGGGTTGAATTAATATTATTTTATATATATATATTAAAAAAAAGTGTATTGGGATAATAAAATTATAAAATATTTAAATAATATAATTAATGATAAAATCTCAAAAATAGATCGTCTATCAGAGTTGGTTTAATTTATTTTAGAGATTTTAACTTTTAGGTCTCTATTTTAAAGAAATTATAGACAAGTTGTTGGAGACACTCTAAGATCATCTCCAATCTTAACACTAAAAAAAACCAAACCTGGTGGGTCCATTACACAAAAAAACTCAACTCCAACCTTACTAAAAAAACATCAAATTTGTAGACCTTACATTAAAATAACATACTTTATTTACTTTTAAACTATTTTTAATAACAATAGTTATATTTTGTAAATACATATTATAATGTATATATATATATAGTAATAATTTTTTAATCAATTTTTTAGCTTTAATAGAAAATTCAAGAAAATATAAAATGGCCAAAATACCTCTCATTTGTTGGATCTAACGGAAAAGGTTAACGATCACTAGGAGAAGGGACCAAAATCATTATGGAATGACAAGCGTGAGGGACCAAATCCGACTTTTCAAGGTTTGCGTACGCGATTCGTTAAAAGTGACAAATGTTAGTGTAACACCCTAATTTCCTCCCGAATAATGCTACATCATCCTCCAAAATAATGGCTAAATAGAAACCGTTTATAATGGAAGACATTAAACCAATAAATATGTAACTTAAATGCTAACTCATCCCAGCCTAGTTGTGTTACAAAATTTATACAAAATAAATGTCTAAACACAAATACTAAACTTTAATGGACATGACAAGTATTTATGCGTATCATTTTTACTTATGATCCCTGAGATGCATATTATAGTTAGGTTTGTGTGAACAGAATTATTTCACATTACATATATTAACTTGTAAACTTTGTATAAAATAAATGCATTTCCTAAAAAATGCATCTTTGTAAAAAATTGGATCTTATAAATTTTTTGGTTGGGTATGAGTCATTTTGTCACTAACATGCCACGAGTTGAACTTTCTATTCTATTCAATTATCCATTTATCTGGGTCATGCCACTTGTCCATGATTTACTGGGCAACTGTCCGTCCTTTAAAATCGATCAATGATCATAAAACTGTCATATGAAATATGTTAGAATTGTTTTTAAACAATTAACATAAAACATGCAACCGTCATAAATAACATACATGTAAAATATATTGTAACATGTATGAAAAGTGAACCATTGTGCATACACACGCACCACCATGCAAATGATATAATGCTCAAAATGAATATGTACGTAAGTCTCATTAATACTCATATGTCTTTGTAGATCGACTACTAATAGCTTCTGAATAAAGACATGCACATTTCATATCACCGTATCCAATTTAATTCTCAAAAAGTCAACCATGGTCGACCCGACCCGACCCGACCTAAAAACTCTAGTGTAGTTACTCTAAAAGGACGAGGTTGGTCGAATACATTGTGCATTATGTGTTTCCAAACTTCGGGGAGCAATTTGAGGTTTTATAGAAACTTGGGACAAGATTGTGATTTTCAAAACATGAGGGACTGGTACAGGCATTAAATAAAGAATCCGTGTCACACACGCGCGCGTGGGGTTGATGACTTATTCTTTATTCTGATTCCGGCTATAAAAGAAGCTAAGCGGCAGAAATAGGCAATAAACCGAAAGGGTATGGCCAGCAATTTTCCGGTCAAATCGTCGCTCCCAAATCTTCCAGTTTCGCCACAGCTTTTACACGCTTCTTCGATCGTCTCCGGCGACTGGTATTTACACTGTTTTTGAACGTCTTCTGATCTGAATCGTGCTAATATGCTCTCTCTTTTTTCAGTCAAAATTGGTCTTAGATTGTGAACTTTATATCGAATTCGATGCGTTGAAGTTGTTATTGAGTTGTTAATTATACTGTGTATATTCTATTTATGCGCTGCGTGCTTAAAGTGTCTGTGAAATTTAGTTGTGAAGTGGTCTAGGGTTTGTTAGTTGGGGGATAGGTTCAGGGCTGTTCATTAGGAATCCCATTAAGTGAACTAATTAGACGCAGGCACATCATATGTTCTATCATTGACTTCGACTCCACTACTAAAATTTGCCAATATTATGGATGCATGATTGTGAGTGGTAGGCTTAAAAATTCTTGCTGTTTTACCCCGAGGAGTTTTTATTTGGAACTTAACAGAGTGGCGATAGTTTTTGAACAGGAGTGTTAAGGTCAAACCAAACCAATGTCTGCACTCTCACTATCTGAAGGGTTTATCTTGTTAGTGATTGAATTTGAACTCGTTGCTCAAGAACCGTTCACTCATTTATTCGAGCATTATAGATGGTAACATATTTGTTTTGACATAAGATATTCCCTAAGCAAGGACTGGTGCAGCCATAATAACGTGTCATGGTAGACATGAGTTATCCGTAGGATTTAACTAGACTGAGTTAAGTGAGGAGGCACTTCGTGGGTCCCGTGTATAATTACATGCTCATTATGTGAATATGAATGTCTGACAATTGAGTGAAAAATAGTTTGTCAGCATCTAGTCTAGATGCCTTAATTATAAAACTATGAAAGCTGTGTGAGTAAGAGTAAGATTGCATGGGTGGCACAAGTTAAGAAAAGATATGGATGTTTCGATCGTGAAGGAGTTTTTTTTTTTTTTTTGTGAACCGAAATTAGTGGAGGAAAAAGATTAGATCCTATGAAATTATTCCAAGAGCTGATGAATTTCAAGTAATTCCTTAGTAGGATGACATTTAGTTCGAAACCACCGTAACTGCCCAAATAAGTGCTTACCGGCTAATTTTCCTTTCCTGATGAATATGGCAAGGGCCAAGAATCTTACCCGGTAAGTGAGGGTGACGACTCTTACCTGGGTAAGCGCTTACCGGGTAAACTGTTGCATACGATACCGTTTTGATTTACTACAATCTTACCCGGTAAAATAAATTATAGTGGTGACTCCTATCGGTAAGCGCTTTGGGTAAACGACCCCTAAATGTAGTAGGATACCCTCCCCCTGCTCCAATTACTCAATTAGACTGATATGCCATTTTTACATTTGTAACTTGGGTCTTTCTCCCCACCACGGCACCACCTGTCTCTCTCTATATGTTTATATTTTTGTATAAATAGTCAATAACTCACAACGACCCTCATATTCTGATTAGTCTGAATTTATTGCAAACATGTAGTGCTAGTTAATGTAAGATCATATATAATACTTCTCAGTCAACCACACTCTATTTCCATCAGTTATGTTTGTGTTTGTGTGTGGTTTTAGTAAAATAGGAATTGGTATAGAAATTGTTTTAACTTCCTCTGATCATTTAAATGCCTAGTCTGAAATCACGTTTTATGTTGAGAAATGTAACTCTACAGAAGATTCAATAGATTGACTACTTCTTTGATGGCGTTTTAACGGTATTTATTCTTGTTAAATCTGTGAGCTACCAGTTCACTAGTGTTGGTATTGACCTATTTTTGCATAAGAGTTGCTTCAAGAATCTCAATGAAGAATGGAGAAAGCATTGAAAAAAAAAAAAAATGGGTACTCTTCATCTTGTATTTGTATTGTCATATACCATATTCTTCTTACTGCTACAAGTCTATGATAATTAATTTACATTCACAAACATTAAACCTAAAATTGTAATAATTGAAGAAGGAAATATAAGCTATTTCTTGACCAAGTAGCACAGCAAAAATAGAACAAAAAATTGAAGTACAGCCTGATAGGATTTGATCTCAATGTTTTATTTTCAGGCCGGTGAGAATTTAGGACTATGGGTGATGCAATTGATTTGACTGGAGATGGAGGTGTCATGAAGACAATCGTGAGGAGAGCCAAACCTGAAGCCATTGTTCCTTCTGACAATCTTCCTCTTCTTGATGGTAATAATTTTCGAAACTGTTAAAATTTATTGGAGCTGCTCTTCTTGATTGTACAAAGCATTACAATTGTTTACTGAGGCTCTAATTGTAGTCTCCAACTTCTTGAATTTTTGGCAATATTTAGGACTACTAAAACATATGTGAGTTGCTCTCCATGCTTGTAGAAATGGTGGTTATATCTTTTTTTGCATTCAATATGCCAGCGTCTTGATTGAAAGAATCTAGGTCATCTTGTCCTTCCATCTTTCTGTTACTTGCTTTCCCATGTTCAGGCTCATTGGATTTGGATGTGCCTGTTCTCGTTATGTGAGAGATGTACTTTATTGTGATTAGAATTTGATAACATGGTTGCTTTTTTATATCTTTTCGACTTAAACTGTAAGATTACCAAAATATGCTGCTTGACTTTATGGCAAGATTATCAAAAATTCCATCCATGTGTGCCAATTGTATTTTGCATATATTGTTTATGCTTGTAAAAGTTGATGTTGCAAATATTCCATCCAGGATTCTCGCATAGTTTTCCAATATAATAATTTGAATATCCAAGTCTTTCACTGCTGAGGCTTTTGTGAACAAGATGAATCCTGTGTTGTGGAGCTACTGGCTATTTCTTTCTGCTGCCAAATCATCTGTGCTATGGTCGACTTGAATCATATTTTGGGTGTAATTATTCGCTGTTTTATTGATAATCCTTAATCTTCTTGTTTTCTCTAATGTTTAAAATGTCTTTATCAGTACTAGTTAGTAGTTACATGTTTTTGTGGGGTTTGTAAGATAACTCTATTTGGCTCTTCTGGAATTTTCCTTTTATCACCCTGCAGACAAGGAAAAGAGGAAAACCCAAGTAATCTGAATTAGGTCTTGCAAAATTGTTCCCGTGCACGGATTAGCAAACCTCTTATTGGCAGAGTAGGGTTGTGTGCTTTTCTGTTGACCTCTTAATCTGGTAATTTCATGGAATTATTGTACAAAAAAAGCGGTACATAGACTACGAAATCAAGGAAGAGGTAAAAATCAGCAATCAAATCTAGTTATGCAACTTTTAGACGGTGCGTGACAGATTACAGGCTATCCCACTTCGTTGTAAGGAAGAAGGTTGAGTTGTTTTGCTGTCGAGTTAATTTCTGAAGATGCTAAATTAGCTACCTGCTTTGATAGGCTACACATTTGGTTTTCCCAATAATCCGGATAGTTGAGGGACAAAATAAAGACGAGAGGAATCTATGGGAAGGATTAAGAGCAACCTAGTAGTATGTAGGGGAACCAGATAGGTTCCAGAAGGCAGCTTCTTAGCTCCTTCGTTGTGATCTCTAATTATGATTGTTTATTGCATCCCGAATAATGTTCTGTATTTGTGAAAATTGGTACTTATGGTGACCGTCTTGACTGTTTTGCAGTGCATTATGAAGGTACTCTGGCGGAAACTGGTGAAGTTTTCGATACCACACATGAAGACAACACAGTGTTCACCTTTGAGCTAGGCAAAGGCACTGTGATAAAGGCTTGGGATGTTGCTCTCAGAACCATGAAGGTTGACAGATTTCCTTCTTTAGTAGGGATTATAACTTGTTCACTTTTGAATTGAATGTTTCTAATATTATTTCAGGTTGGGGAGGTTGCCAAAATTACTTGCAAATCAGATTATGCCTATGGCAGTGCGGGTTCACCGCCAGAGATTCCACCAGAGTAATTACTTGATTATAGTAGATTATGTGGGATTTTGGATCATGTATTTGTTCATTTATCTGAGTCTTACCAAATTAGCTACTGGTGATTAAATGATGGAGATATTAATTGGCAGTGCAACTCTTATATTTGAGGTGGAGCTGGTGGCCTGCAGACCAAGGAAGGGTTCTAGTTTGGCTAGTGCCTCGGATGAAAGGGCTAGACTCGAGTAAGTCGTGCTTCTTCTATTATTTATGATGGTCATCAAGTGTTTTGAGTTTGACAAGTTAAAATGAATGAATCAGAGAGCTGAAGAGGCAGAGGGAGATGGCAGCTGCACAGAAGGAAGAAGAGAAGAAGAAACGTGAAGAAGCCAAGGCAGCTGCTGCAGCTCGTATCCAAGCCAAGATGGATTCCAAGAAAGGCCCAGGAAAGGGGAAGGGCAAGGGAAAGTAGCTTTCCTGCCTGCCTTCAACAATAATAAGAAGAAAAGCTCTCTCCCATCATATGATTGACCTTTTTTTAAACATGTATCAACCTTTAACCCTTATTTGACAAAAAAAAAGCTACATATATATATCAACTCAGTTGCTTCCTTCTTATGTAAGGATTTTTTTTATTAAGAACTTGTGGTCTGTTTAAATAAGTGAAGCTGCAATGTGTTGAATCCACTGATTACTGGTTTTGGGTTTTGGAGTGAAAGTATTCAACCTTTTCAATTAGATGATTAAAAGTCTTATCAAACTAGCAGAATGGTATATGCCAAAATGTGTTGTTTTCAAAAGCATCGAATTGAAGGGTAAGCCTTTGAATATTAATACTAGAATCAAGATTTAAGGTTTTCTTCTTTCCTAACGACACCTCCTTCCTAACATATTGTAAATAATAATGTCTGAATGTATATTCACTCTTCTTCATTCTCATGCCATGCCGATCCAACTCTGAACTTGCAAACCGGGCAACTTCCCTGCTGTCTTAGCCATGGATCAATACAATTTGCATGAAACTGCAACAAATTCATTTATATATTCATCAATAACAAATTATACAGCTTTCTAAAAGTTGCTTTTCTGTTTTCAAAAACATAATCCAGAAAAGCAGGCTCTTGTCAAGTTTGCAATGAAAATGAGACAGACCTGATGCAAGCATGGCAAGCTACGAACTAGTTCCCCTACATTAACTTGCTCCAAGCAAACACTGCAAGTCAATTCATCTTCTGAGCTTTTTCCCCCAACTGCTTTACCACTCTCTACCTTCTGTTACACCAAACAAATTCTTATGTATGCACCACCCACCTTGTACAATTACTACTTATTTCTTAGAAACAAACATATCATATACATATATGTATGAAAAGTTAACAAGAGTGCCTGCCCCTAATTATAATTTCTAAAGAGAAATAAGTACGGTAATTTACATTCCAACCCTTCACCAAGTCTCAATCCCCATGACGAGACAAACATTACTTACTAAGTTGGCATCTGAACATGTTATGAGAGGTGTTCCACAGAGAGAACTTGGCATTCAGACAGTTCCATGATAACGTATCCAATGTAAGAAAGGAAAATTAGTTACCTCAGGTGCGCCAGAAGATGAACCTTGTTCCACTGATGAGCTACTGCTGTTATCAAAACAGGTATCAAAATCCATAAATTCCCAAAGAAAATCTGTAAAGTTATGCAGTATCCAGCATGCACAAAACTCAAAAAAAGAAAAAAGAAAGAGGCATCCAGAGAATTCATATCATGTTTCTATCTTCCACTGGTTTGACACCTTTCCACTTGTACATAAATAGAGACAAATGCTGTAATTAGATAGTGTCTAATGGAATAAAGAAGGAAGACTTTACAGGAAGGCCTTGCAAAAACACAGCCTCCCTCTTGTTCTGATACCATATCAAAGCATGAATAGCTCAATTGAGCAACAATAAGGTGTTGATCGTAACCATTACAAACTATCAAAAATTGGTTACTTGGAGAAGATATCTGAAAAGTAGAGTAAGGGGGTAGGATACAAGCAGACCTTTCCTCTACCTCAAGGGGTTGAGAGGTTGTTTCTGTGAAGACCCCCGTTAACCATGCTATACTCTATCCTTTGGGCAGGAGTCCTGTGGAGCACTTATGGCTACTCGAAAGCCAGATAACACCCTTGTTAAAAATTCAATTAATGAGAAGCATGCCCTCTCCTTCGTATCCATTCTCTGATTTTACTGGTGCACAACAAACAAAAAATTGAAAGAAACAAGAGGGCAAGCTACAGGTGAGAGTGTGCAAACAAGCATCCTATTATACTGTATATGGTATACCACTTTCAGCACATCAATTACCAAAAAGAAACAACCACCTATAAACATAGCACGAGAATTTACATCTTCCTATTAAAGTTAACAACACAATTCAATTTACATTTCAAGTTGGAGATGTTAACTGAAAATTGATTTTGGTACAGGATTGTGAACAGTGGAGCCTACAACTTACCTTTTTGAGTTGGCCACCTTGTACTTGTGAATAGGAAGAGAATTTACATCTTCCTCGCTCATTGAATTGGCTGTTGGAGCATTGTCAGTATCCAGTGCTCTTAATGTTTCATAATCTGCAAAAACGCGTAAAAAGAACTAGCAAATTAAAAAGAAAAAAGAACACGTAATTTCTATCAGTTGTGAGATAAATAATGCAAAGAAAATTTGTTCGAATTTATTGAAATTGTAGTAAGGGAATTTCATGATCTAGATATCATACAGATTAGAATAATCACCATAAGCGTGTACCTAAGTCATCAAATTCCCTGTCAAGAAGTGCAAGCTGTAGTCTGAGCCCTTGCAATCGTCCTCGTGTTGCAAGTGCTATAGAAGGTGGCATCTGCAATCGCAACTCAGTATGACCAAGGAGGCCACTAGCTGCCACGGCATTTGCTTGTGCCTGGGCTTGGAGTTGCTGACAGGTTGCGTACATTCTTAGGCTTGTAGCCATCAAAAAGACACCAAGTACCAGCCAAAGCTAAATAATAACAAAAAAGGGTACACAGAAATTTTAGAAAAGGGCATCTGTACATTCACCAAACAGAATATCCACAAGGAAACTGCAGGCATACCAACAATAGTAAAAAGGATGAGATAGATAGTTACCAGAAAGTTTGGTGACATTTGGTGCGAGTTCAATATCATGAACAACAAGAGAACTGTAACATGAAAATGGGTAATGAGGGGGCAATCACAAAAGCAGCTATTTGTGAATGGAATATACAAAAATCTAAAAACCCATATGCACCTGTGACAAGAAAGGCAAGGGAGTTTGTATTAACAGGCCGGGATGCATGGATTCGCTGACAATGGTACCATGAACAAGTACATAGTTAGAACAATATAATGGTTTCATCCATGTATGCTCAAAGGAATGTGCTCCAACCAAAAGTAAAGAAAAAATAGGATAACCCACTGCACGGCGTTCAGGAATAAATCCAGGAAAACCAGTTTCAATATCTCCCCTAGTCCCTCGAAAGGCGAAACTCATGATTGTTGAGTTCTATGCAAAAAATTTATCAGCCACTTCACAGTAATAATGGGTCCTACACCAAAATATTCAGGAATCAGCAAATTCCGAACACAGAAAAAGTCATTACAAGTCTATGAGCAATCAATTATTATCTCATAGACTGATGCCAATTACTTCCTCCATCCCAAAATAAGTGTCCATGTTTCTATTTTAGTTTGTCCCAAAGTAAGTGTACTTTCAAAAGTGCGTGCCTACTTTTGAATTCTACCCTTAATTATGATACGGAAAAAAACATCATTGATTCACTTCCTCTGTCATTAAGGGTAAAATTGTCATCTAGTTAACTAAAAATTGTAATAATTGCACATTTCTAAAACTGTGTGCCTTTTTCAATGTGGACACGTATTTTGTGATGAAGGGAGTATATCAAAGAGACTGGCAACTCACAAGGTGAATTTCCAGTATTTCTTATAAGATAAAATTAACTATTAAATTTAATATCATCAGTATTGAACATCAAGCATAACTTAGCAGATGCCTAGGATGGAGGACCTCCTGACTCCTACATGAATCCCCAATGCTAAGTACAACTTGACATCACTCTGCTCTTTCTCAGTCTTGGCGATCAATTTCTACAATTCATGTTGGATTAAATTTCACATGTATATCAGGCCGCTTATGAGAGGAGGAAATCTTTAATAAATTATTCCTTTTTTAAGCAGTTATCCTTCAGGACATTTCCCTTTGATTATGAGTGTCAGTCTTTAAACATTCAGTTCTAACCTAGGATTCATGATGGTGTATGAAAGTAGCAGGAATAATCAATGGAATGCATGATACAGCATAATCAAAGATCTTGATATCCAATAAGACCGACTCGCATTCACCATTCTCTTTGACTTTGTTCCAATTAAACTAGATTTCTATTGTTTCAGCCAATATGACTATCAAATACAAGACAGGTCCGAGGTTCAACCTCCCCCACCCCACCCCTAGCACGCAAGCCTCAGCCGCTGAGTGAGCCAAAAAATGCCCCCTCACATTGGTGTCCTTAGAGGTGGGTTCCGTGTGGGGCTGTTGGGTTGCCCGTAAACAACTTTTTGCCCAAATATGACTATCAACTCACAATAGCTCCAGGGTATTTTAAAAGCCAAGCAATGCATTTTCACAGTGAGGCATACCAACAGAATTACAATCAAACACAGTTGCTCATCACTTTGAGAAACGATTACTCAGTAAGTCACTTCGACAAACCACAATAATTCAACTCACATCAAAGTGACGCTTACACGGTCTAAACAAATAAAGTGTTCACTATTACTCTATCATGTAAGTCACAAATAATTATTTCTTTTACTCTACCTATACTCGGGCCATAATAGAACTTTACGAACCTTTGCTCAAGATAAAGGATCAGGTGGGTTCAAGCACGCCTATCCGTGGCCATTATAGTTTCGCCCCAATGATCAAAGTGAATCGTGGTCCGTGCCAAAATAGCATAAAGACGATATGAAATCCAAAGTAATTAAAGTGGTATTCAGAGAACTGATATCACTGCTGAACTTCAAGGCACCCCAATGGCCCACTTTTACTTGCTCATTGAGAACCTTCAAGAATTTATTTTGTCATTGCATGGTCCTACTAATCAGTTGTTATGCAATCTTAAGCTTTGATTGTTTTTTGAATATAGAGACTGCAAGTGAACTTTGTATATTAACCAATATTCCAACTATCTCTTTTTGTCTTAGGTTGCGTATTTAGTGATCAACAACCAAAATGTTTATTTTACCGGAGTGAATACAAGCATTCTAAATTCATTTGCAAAAGTTCATTTGTGTATGTTAACCTACAACACCTTACATATCAACCATCCACATCCATCCAATGCAACTTCCAAATTGCACAATGGATTATCCCTTCAGGCTCTGAATTCAGTTAGCTACATAAATCATTCCACATACAGTACCAACTACCTTCGCACTAAAGCAAACTATCTATGATAAGACCCTCACAGCATCAAGAACTTCACTAGCCAATAAATCTAATATAACGTATCTTGTATACCCCCAAAAACCATCTGATACGACCTTACAGCATTGCTTCAACAAATCTCAACAACATTATTGATCCGTGAGTTGGAATTACGAACTAAAACGTTTACATGAAGCGCGAGGAGAATAACACATCAGTTTGTCACTCTTTAAATAAAAATACTTCAGCTATCAAAAATTCGAAAACCTAAAACCCCAAACTGTCATGGACTCCCCCGTCGAACAAACAGCGCAACTGCTTCTAAGCAAATGACATGGACAACATACATTATTTCTATAAATAAGAACGAATTCAATCAGAAAATACGATACAATGCTACAAAATAGCTTGGAATCACCGAATGAACAGTAATAGAAAACCCTAATTCAGCAACACAATTGCAAAATTCATTGAATGTATCTACCGAGAGAAAATGATACTTACAGAGTTCAGATTTACCTACGTCGACTGATCTGAGTGTATGATTAGATCATGGTTTGGAATAATCAGAAGTAGATATGATATCTCCGGGAAGAGAACGTCGATGGAGGTTGGGAGTTGGGAAATAGACTTTCAGACGGGGTCGACTTGGCCGCTATTTTGGCCAGACGATAGCTACCTTAGACAGGCGAGAGCTTTTTTGGCTGCCTTCCAAATATTTATATATATATACAAATACAATGTCAAATTACACTATAAACCAACTTTCCTTTATTTTAATTGTAAAAAATTAATTAAAACAATCATTTTTATCGGTTGGTTTTACCTCATAACCACTTATCTGTAAAATTTACCAAAATAATCATAGGTCTGCGATTTAATTTTTTTTTTGGACCTAGGTAAAAAATTAAAAAAAATACGGATCTGGATAAAAAATGTAAATTTTTTTGCAGACCAGTGTGAAAAATGTAATATTTTCTTGCAGACAAGGATAGAAAGTGTAAAAAAGAGTTGGGTCAGCAATTATGGACATGAGTTTTGCAGACCTACGGTAATTTTGGTAAACTTAGGGGCTGTTTACCAAACACTTATTCGGTAAGTGCTTACCGGTAAAAATTAACACTATCATTTACTTATCGGATAAGATTTTAGTCCATTAAAACGGCATCGTATGCAACAATTTACCCGGTAAGCACTTACCGTGGTAAGAGTCGTTGCCCTCACTTACTGGGTAAGAAGACTCTTGGTCCTTGTCTTGCTCTTACCGGGTAAACTTCTTGGTCCTTACCATATTCATCCGATAATGTAATGTGATTTGGTAAGCGCTTACTCGGGTAAGCATTTAGTAAACGGCCCCTTAGAAAAAAATACCTAGGAGATAGAACCAACTTTGAAAATAGCTATTTTAAGAAAATTATGTTTACTTTTTTGGATAACCTTCGGTTAACAAAAACCATGGTGTTCGTTATCTATTTACAACTTTTATAGTGCAACTTGTTATTTACGGTTTTAAGTTATGAAACCGTAATTCCAACTGGAGCGCACATTCTATTTATATTTTTTAATTTATAATATATATATATATATATATATATAATTAGACTAATTTATATAATATTTTAATTTTCTTAGATTATTTTATAATTATGTAATATATTTAGTGTTCTTAAATTATTTTTATCTGATAATAGATATTTAGGAATCAAATGTCTTTAAACTTATCATTTATTTATGATTTTATAATATAGTTTAATTTCAGTACAAGTTATGATTTGAGATATATATAGTGACTTTTGCGGTTTGGCATCAAACTGCACCATAAACACCCCTAATAAAAACATTTGATATAAAAAAAATATGATTTAGGAATTTTCTTTTAAATAAATCTGTGTTCCCATAATAATGTTAAATAAAATAATAAAAAAAAATAAAGTTGGTTTTATTTTAGTTTTTGAAATTGATAAGTCTCGATCATGACTTCTAAATAAAAAGTTTTGAATCATCTTTTGTAAATGAAGATTTTAATTCTTGATTTGTTAGGATAAAACCGAAACAAAATTGATTTTTTTTAAAATTAATATTATTCTCACATATTTTGTCTTATAACTATAAATAGATTTATTATTATTTATTTTTAAATCCTTCTAATTGATATTTATCCTTTTAATTGATATTTATGTTTATGAGTCGTTATAGTTTGTCTTATAATATTTCGCTTAATTAAATGAGAATCTTGTAACTTAATCTTGAGATTTAATGTGACTCACTCATTTATGATCATTATGTTATTTATTAAATTAATAGAAAATGATAGTTTAATAATAAAAAAGATAACCCATAAATGTATTTAGTTTATTTATTTTTCCACAAATAGGAAATCCACTATTCTTCACTTTGTGTGATCTTTGAATCTTTGATGCCCAGTAACACAATGTATATTTTCGTTGTTTCCGTTTTTTCCTTATAATTGAATTTTTTAATTTAAATTTTGATTATTGGTTATAATTGAATCTCAAAAAATACTGAGTTATCTTTTGAATGACCCCTACATTTCATGTACGTATAGGGAGTTTGAAATACAAACCTTTTAATTAGTACAAATATATCTCAACTGTCCATCTAATTTGATGATATATGATTACATAAATATCTTGATTGTTTATCTTATCATCTTCCGTTACCATTGATAAATGAACTCTATCATTTTTATAAATATCTATGGTAAATCCATTTTATCAAAATTATCTTTTTAATTTGTTACTCATAACATAAAATATACCAATTTGTCTATCTTTAGTAAACATATTGCTTTTTAAATCGTTGGCACGTATTTATTAGAATTTAAAACGTGATTTTAAAATAAACAAAATAATAACTAAACTTATTAATTAAATACTAACCTGAAAACTTACCCAAAAAAATTTAATATTACATTTTTATGGTAAAACTAAAAAAACAATATTTTTTTAAGAATTAATAAACTATATAAATATTAAATATAATCTAATATATAGTATTATATTATGTAATAAAGCATAAAGAGACAAAAAAAAAAGTAATATGATCAAAATACCCCAAGTTGATGAACCTTTTTTAACTAGAGTTAGTCAAAGGTACCAAAACTGGAATAAAATATCAACCATGATGACTAAAATTGTAATTAATTTAAAATAAGGATCAAACTTGATAGCAAGTAACAACCACAAAGACAAAAAAATATGATTTACTCTATAGTATGATCGTACAAAAATTGCTAAAAAAATATAAGCAACGTTTATGGTCCTCCCCTTTAGATTGTACAACGAGATAAGTATTGAGCACACTTGCTAGATTTTCACAAATATCGTGTTTAACATGTTTTGTGGAAATCGTTTAAGTTGTTTAACAAGGTCACTATATCCAAAATCTTCTGTGACAGTGCGTGAATATGTTGTATGAAAGTTTAATATATGATGGCTTTTAAAATTATTGAGATCGAGAATTTACTGCATAAAGTTTAAACTAATTAATTCCTAGGTTTATCCAAAATATTTTTAAAATCGTACAACCATGAAAATATTTGACTGCAAATAGCAACAATTAAGAAATAAGTACAAGATCAAAATGTACTGAGAAGAAAGTGAAACCAATACATTAACTGACAAATATATTATGATGATTGTTGATGTTAAAACTTGGACATATTTTCAATCTGGTTGTGATATGTCAAACTTATTTTCAACTTCCTACTATGTTCAATCAGTGTTTTGATATCGTGAACAATTATTTAATTATATTTAATGATATAAATGTTTGTATGTTACAGTATGAACGTTTCACATGTTGGTATAATGAATATGAATATAAAACTATTCATTAACTTTTTATAATAGAGTCTTAAATCTAACGATCTACGACTAGTATTCATGCATATGTAACTTAGTTTAATATGTATGGACTTGTTAATTATTTAAGAACTTCAAAATTTATGAGATCTTTGAGAACTTCTATGTTAAGTATTTGTTTAAAATGATTTTTTTTACATGTAAATATAATATTTAATATATTGATTAACATATATTTGTTTCATAAGTATCCAGTTTACAACGTAAACTTTTTTGTTTCACAAATATGCCAAAAAGGTTCATAATGTGAACAGCGTACATGTGAAACAAACACGTCGTAAAACAAACATATGTTAACCAATATTCTTAATTTTAATCTTATATGAAAAAATCATATGAAATAACACATGATGCACTAGTTTTCAAGATTATCAAAATTTGAAGGGTTCTTAAAAGAAATCCCCCCCCCCTCTTTCTCTCTCTCTCTCTCTCTCTATATATATATATATATATAGAGAGAGAGAGAGAGAGAGTCGTATTTATACGAAAACACTATCCCATTAAAAGAATAAGAAAATGGTTGAACCAAAATATATTTTACACAAAAATCACGTGTGATTTATGCGACTTTCATCCTGACCAAGGGTCACGGGTGACATTGTCTGCACACCCTTACGGTGACAGTTAGTGTAAGATAATATGTGATTTTGCATGTGATTTGGAAGATATAGTGTTTAAAAGTATTTAACCTATCGGATATTTTAGACAAATTTAAATATTTGGGCAATCTTTAACTTTAATTTAACTTTTTCTTCTTTTATTTATTTATTTATTTTTAAAAAGAAAAATGGAGCATGGACATGGATTTAATTGCACATGAAGTATCGTAAAGAGATCATAAATGGGATCAAACACTCCATTATTTTGCTTCCCTTTTTCACTTGCATGATTTTTGCTTTTTAGTAACCAAAGTTGAGAGGCAGTCATCTTTTTTTTCTACCAAACCAATCACCTACATTTATCTAACCATTTGAAGCCAATAATTTCAAAAAACAAGACACTCCTCCATCATTATTACTTCTTTTAATGTAACATATCATACCCTTTGAAAGACATTTTCTTCTTGTACATGCCCTACGATTTCTTTTCTAGTAAAAGGTCGTTTATCAGTTGTCACTTAACTTACTGGATAAACATAATAATAACCGATTACATTAACAGTAAGAGACGTTACTAGGTAAAATACACTTACCAACAATCAATTTTGATGTTTGATAAACGACCTCTAAATTTCTAGTTATAATTATATCAATAAAAGACATTACATAATGTAATTGACGTTACTTTTTCCTATTCAAATTGTTCTTTCTGTTTGTCTTCTTTTTCTTGAATTGATTAGTCACGTAATGATATAACAAGTTTGTCTATTTTTAAAAACAAGAAAGTTAATCACTATTCTATAAAGGTATCATATTTCTTATTATAGGGTCGTTCAATTTTGCATATCAGACAGAAACAATATATTACTAAAAAAACGTAGAGAAAACACAACTTAATTTTTCGTGTAAACAATGTATGAAAACTACATTATTTATATTTAAAAAAAAAAACAAATCAATGGTGTTATTTCGACTATGAGTCAAACTGTCGGTGACAGATGAAAAAGAAGAATTGAACTGTGGGGAATCTAAATTATATTTGAATTAAACAAGACATCAACATCAGTTCATTGCATCACTCTATATGCAAAACACTAAATCCAAACACACATCACGTTTCCTACGTTTTAACATGCCGGTTATGCCATGAACGGTGATCATCGTGTATTATAACACAAAATATTCGGTATTGTTAAGAGTC